TGCCAACCCCATCCCTGGAAGTGTCCAAGGCCAGGTTGGACGGGGCTTGGAGCAACCTGGGCTAGTGGAAGGTGTCCCTGTCCATGGCAGGGGGGTGGAATTAGATGGTCCTTAAGGTCCCTTCCAACCCAAACTGTTCTGTGATTCTTTGAGTGCTGCCTTCCCAGCTCCATGTGCTTCTCTGCAGCATTTTCTCTCTTGTTCCACTGGTGTTTTTTGTTTCCAGCAAATTTATTCCCATCGATGCCATTTCCCTCTGCCCCTGCCCAGCCCCACAACACCCTGGTGTGGCGCAGGGCCCAGGTTCATGGAAAACTTGATATTGAGGCAACAATCTCTTGTTTTGGGCCTGGATCCCACTGTCCTCCTTTCTCCATCATCTTCCAAACCAAGTTTGTCTCGTTACCAGCATTAATCCCCTGTTTTCCTGCTCCTGCCTCTCCTGCAATCTTGCTTCTTTCTCGAGACTACACCGTTTTTTCCCATGGAAAAATCCACTTGGGGATTGTTGTGGTCATCCCTTCTTCCAGTCATCTTGGGTGTGACATTTCCTCCTTTCCACACTCTTGCTCCTCTCTAACTTCCTTCTCCAGATGGATCCCTATTGCTTTTCCCTTCCCTTAGACTCCTCCATTCTGTTCTCCTTGCCTTGGTAAAGCTCCAGTTGGGAAACAGCCCAGTTTTCCATCTCTCCCAGCCTCTTCACCTCCCAGCCCTAATGAATGAGTTTTTTCCTTCCTTCTCCTAATGCTCTTTTCTTCAGCTTGGCTGTTTGGGACTCATCAGATGCAATTAGTGTTCGAATCCAGCAATCTGGTGATTGGAGGGATGAAGGAAAAGCTTCTTTGGAGCCAATCCCTCCTTCCAAGTGGACTTCCCCAGGTCACTTGGAGCAGCCAGCTCCAACTGCAGTGGTCAGGGTTGTCCCAAAGCTGAATCCCTAAAATCAGTGGTGGTTTCCCCAGCAGAGTTAACAAAGTGTGGAGAGCTGCTCAGTGACACTTTGGTGGTGTCACCTGCCAACCAGTGTCCACCTTGCTCCCTGAACTCTTAACATTCCTATATTTTATAAAAATTCCCTCTCAAAATGAAGTGAAATAACTTCCTGGGCTTTTTGAATGTATTTGCTCCACTAGAACTGGTTTAAGAGGTGCAGGGTTAGACCTTTAGCAAATGGTTTGGTCCTTGCCAACTTCAGGCATCGAAAAGCCCCATCTCTCGGGCTTCAAAAATCTTAATTAAAGGGGGGGGGAATCAGGGATTTTTTTTATAAAATTCCTGATTTAAAACTTGTGTCGTGGTGGACGTGAGGTGGGAAGTTTTTGAGACAAGAAGGAAAAGAAAAGGAAGCAGAAGTGTTGGTCTGTGTGATGGTATTTGGTGGTACCGGTTTCAAGGTGGGGCGACGTCGCAAACATTGTCCTTCTGCTGAGATAATGCTGTTGATGCTGAAAACAAACCTGGTGGCAAAATAAATAGCAGGAATTCTTGAGGAAGAGGGATGAAGGAAAGGCAGAGTGGTGCCCAGAGGCACAACAGAGCCCTGAGTAAGGTTTCTCTCCCATTGACGGTGTTTGGTCCTGGTTTTGTGTTGCAGGATTTTAGGAACTGTTGTGTAATGTATTCCTGTGTCCAACTTCCCCTGGATTTTTGGGATGCTCCATCAGCCAGATCAAGGAGGAAAAAACCTCAACAAACCAGGCAATTTGAAAAAGCTGGATTTGCCCTCTAATCCAGGTCACACTGTGGGAATGCGTGGATGACTCCCCATCCCTGGAAGTGTCCAAGGCCAGGCTGGATGGGGCTTGGAGCAACCTGGTCTTGTGGAAGTTGCCCCATGGCAGGGGGTGGATCCGGATGATCTTTAAGGTCCCTTCCAATCCAAACCATTCCATGATTCTATGAATATCCCAAACCAGTACTGCACTGAAAGCAGTGGGAGAAGAATGAAAACCCTTCAAATAGCTCATTTCTCTGTGCTGAGCTGCAAAGGGAGCCCATAGGATAAGAGAAAGCAGCCTTAAGTTGCACCAGGAGAGGTTGAGATTGGATATTAGGAAGAATTCCTTCACCAAAAGGGTTGTCAAGCACTGGCTGCCCAGGGCAGTGTTGGAGTCACCATTCCTGAAGGGATTTAAAAGCCCTGTGGCTGTGGCACTTGGGGACATGGGTCAGTGGTGGCCTTGGCAGCGCTGGGGAATGATTGGACTTGATGATCTCAGAGGGCTTTTCCAACCCAAATGATTCTGTGATTCTGCCAAATTTGGTGGGATGAATCCCAGTGGACTCTGTGATCCATGTGCTGTAGATCCCAGATCTACACCAGTGCTGTAGATCCCAGATCAGTGACAGGCTGTAGGAAGGGTGAGGATCACAATAATAATCCTGCAGTTGATTTTTAGTGATGAATTTGCCTCAACAGCGTTCTTTGGCAGCCCCTTCTAATTAAATTCATTAACCTCTCCTTGCTGATGACCCTTTTCCTTAGGGGGGAGCTGAGGTTGAGGAGTCCCCACTCATTGTCAGATGCTCTCCGTGACCTGTTTACCCTCATCCCACACTTCCTGACCCGCGGGAAAGAGTTCACAGATTGGCTACAGCAATTTCCAAACTGTAGAAAACAAACCCTCATTAGTCCCCTCTGTCTAGTCCTTGTGTTGGGAATTTGGGAGATTGGATTTAAATCTATAGCAACATTTAATTTCGTGTTCCCAGCAGGGTGGTTGCTGTAAGTGGGGAAGCGACTTCATCCCGTTGAATCTGAAAGTAAAATGCTTTTATTAGCGGTGGCCTCACAGCGGTGCCTCTCCCAGACTCATCTTTGCCCTTTCAAAAGCTGCTGCTCTTCCACTTCATGGCCAAATCCCTCCATCAAACCTACAAGCAGAGGCTGCAAACCCAACAAAATTCGTCATCGGGGCAGATTAACCAAATCCAGGCTGTAAATGCCCAAATCCACAGGGCCAAGAGCAGCAAAGCCAGGCTTAAAAATGTCTTATTCTTCAAGCCACGTGTCTTAGGCTGCTTTACAGTTTCTGGAAGCATTGAGATTTTGAAAATGCACATCCCAACACTTGGAAAAATGTAGGAAAAAATTAATTCAGTAATTTTTGAAGGGGGGGGAAGGTCAAGACAAACCCCTCATTGTTGCTCAGACTAACATGACTCTCTTGGGCTCAGCATTGGAGTCGTGTTGGCCAAGGACGAGAGGAAGGACTCCTGCTTGGGGTCATGGTGAAAGCCTTGGAGAAAGGCTCTGGAAATACTTCCCAGGGTTTGAAAACCAGCACTTTGCTTATGCAGGGCTTACCCAGCAGTTGTTCTTCTCAACATCTTCCTCTCAGCCTCCGAAAAGTTGGGATGCGCTGTGGATTCATGTATAATGTAGCAGCTCACAAAATATGTTCTCCCCTGCTTTGCTTTTCATCTTAAAACCCCCCAAATCATTATTTTCTGGCAGCTTTTTGGCTTTGGCTGATTTTTTTTTTTTTTAAATTTTGCTACGTTTTTGGCTGAAAACTCTTTGGCCACACGTTGCTGAAGACTCACGTTTCCAGCCGAAAATTCCCATCTTGGGGCTGTTGGGTTTTGTTCATGCGTTTGGGGTCTGGGGTTTTTTGGGGGGATGAAAAAGAGCAAATATTGTGAGGGAGAGTAATTTGAAGTAATTTGAAGAGAGAAGTCATTCCCCATGAACAGGTTTGTTTAATTTTTAACCCCATTTCTGCTTGAAACCAATTTTGATGGAGATTCTCCAAACTATCACTATAATCAACCTGAAGCTTATGAGGCAGCAACGCTCCTCCTTGCTGTTTATATTAACATCTGAATTACGTAGGTCCATGAAAAACTATGGAGAGCATTAATCAAGTGTTGGAGAAGGCAACAAAAACTGATCCGTGGTTATAATAAACTTTATAGCCCAAAAGTTTTTATTGGAGTGGGGTGGTGTAGTTTGCACAGACCCCGGAGAAGGAATCAATTGTGTTAGGCCACCACCACCACTGATATTTGGGTTTTCCCCAGCCAAGTGAGTGTTCCCAGCATAAAGGATTTCGTGCTGGATGTGGAAAATGCTGGTGAACTGGGTAAAAATGGAGCTGAGGGATTTCCAGAAGGACTGAAAGGTGTTCAGGGGTTTCTCGCTTGTCTTTTAACCGGGAAGGGTTTAAACACAATGGTTGGGTTCAATTCTTAATTTAAGCCCAATGGTTGGGTTCAATCCTTAATTTAAACCCAGTGGTTGGGTTCAGTCCAACAGTTGGGTTCAGCTTTTCATTTAAACCCAACACTTGGGTTCAACCCTTCATTTAAGCCCAGCAGTTGGGTTCAACCCTTCATTGAAGCCCAGTATTGGGTTCAGTCCTTGATTAAACCCAGTGATTGGTTCAATCCAACAGTTGGGTTAAATCCTTCATATAAACCCAACTCTTGGGTTCAGCCCTTCATTTAAGCTCAACACTTGGGTTCAACCCTTCATTTAAGCCCAATGGTTGGGTTCAACCCAATGGTTGTGTCCAAAACTTCATACAAACCCAACAGTTGGGTTCAACCCTCCATATAAACCAAACAGTTGGGTTCAATCCTTAATTAAATCCAATGGTTGGGTTCAATCCTTAATTTAAACCCAATGGTAGGGTTCAATCCAACAGTTGAGTTCAACAGTACATATAAACCCAACACTTGGGTTCAGCCCTTCATATAAACCTGACACTTGGGTTCAACCCTTCATTTAAGCCCAGCAGTTGGGTTCAACCCTCTCTGTAAACCAAACAGTTGGCATCAACCCTTAATTTAAGCTCAACAGTTGGATTTAACCCTTTGTTGGATAAGGGGTTGAACCCAACACAGCGAAACCCGCAGTGCATGTGGGGTTTAATTCTCAAACTTTTCTGTGTGGGGTGAGACCCCAAAGTGTCTGCAAGCTGTGACATCTGCCCTGCTCCTTGTAATGAACTGTCTCTGCATCTCTGGTTTGGTTTTTTTTTTTCCATTCCAAGGTGGGCCTTAATGTTCTGATTCAGAGAGCAAACAAGTTTACCCCGGCCACTCGTCTCCTGATCCAGAGGTTTGTGCCGTTCCCTGCTGTCGGTAAGAAATAACACCTTTCCTTTATGTTCAAAGTGTTGCCTGTAAACCTGCTACTGGCCAAAAGCCACTGGGATGGACACCTAATTCCTGCCTTCCTGCTCGTGGCCCCTCAGTGGTGGGTCCCTGAGTTGGTGCAGACAGTGGTGGGATGGTGCAAAGCAGCTTTTTGGCAGGAAAATGGTGCCAAGCTGCCGGTGGGGGCAGCTCAAGAGGCTTTTTAGCTGCACTTTCCACTCTCAGGCAGCTTAAAAAATGATCAGTGTTGGCTGGTCCTTGTCCATTCAAATCTGAGGGCATTTAATTTGCAAGATCTGGTTTGAATCACGTCAAGTCCGATCTTCAAATAAGCAGTGGCATTATGGTTGTTTCACAATAAAATGCAGTAAAATGGTTCTACTCTGAATATACAGATTTGTGAGAGCCACTGATTAAAAACAGACTGGAGTGTGTGAAGAATTAAGGCTTTTTGGAGCATTTTACCAGCATTTTATTGACTGTTTGCTGAGTGAGGGAAGGGACAGGCTGGACTCAGCCTTTGCTGGAGCCTCTGGTGACAACCTTCAGCAAATGAAGAGTTATTTTAGCCATGAAAAAAATCACCAGTGGCTTTGGGGAAACTTTTATTTATAAAGATGGTGCAAAAATTGCCCAAGAATGGAGGAAATCAGTAAACAAAAGGGGGTTTTGCTCCCTGTTCCAGGTCTTTTTTCAGCCATTTAATGCAAAACTTTCCCTTAAGCTTTTCCCTTTGCTGTGCAAGTGCCACGTCCTCGGAGCTTCGCTCGAGGACACTCAACCCCTTTACCTGAGCCCCTTTAACTCTTGCTTACTGGTCCTTCTGCTCCTTTTTTAATATAGACCTGCTTGCTCTGACCCTCCAAACTGCAGTTCTTGAGTAACTGGGGTTTTTTTCCCCCCTTTTCTTCTGGAAAAACAGCTGCTTGCTCTGTCTGCAGAGCAGGGAGTGACAGGGATTGTGGTCTGGGTGTCACACTCGATCTTATTCCTGAGCCCTTTCCTTGTACACAGGGGATCTGTTGACATTATTATTATGATTTTCCTGGATTTTCCTGCAATATATTTTAGAAAGTTTCAGTTTTCTCTGGATTTTTATAACCAGGAGGGCACTTGGGGTGAGTCCAAGCCCCAGGAGGCAGCTCCAAGGCGGGGTTTGAGTCAAAGACACACACACAGGGAATCTTTGCTGCCGGGTTGATCTATTTTCATCCCAAGGTGTGAGGAGGAAGAGGTTACGTTTGTGTTGGCATTGATTGAGGACCCATAATTAATTTGTTTAGCCTGCAATTAATTCTCCAGCTCCTATTTTATTTGTGTACCATCGTGCTTCGTTATGTGCCAGGACATCAGGAGTCCTCCCACTAATTGCTGTTTGGTGGTTCAGAAAGCTGTGAGTTATTGGTTTGCAGACCTGGACAAACTGTTTAATTAAGACTCGTCTTCCAATTACTTTTGAACCACCAGCCCCCGGCAAAAAAAGGCAGAATTTCTCTTTTTCTACGTGAAAAGACAGCTCTTGCTCCCAAAAAAAACGTGGGGATGGGTGGACCTGGGGGAATGGTTGGACTTGATGATCTCAGAGGTCTTTTCCAATCTTAATGATCCTGGGATTCTATGAAACCACTCCCACTAAGCAGTTTTCCCTTGCTTCCCTCTCCCATTGATCTCCAGCTGTGGTTGATAACAGCTGGAAAACTGGAGGGATGCCCCGAAGCTTTCTGGTCTCTCATCCCAAGTTATCCCAGGAGATGGAGACTTGGGGAAGGGCAGCTGTTGTCTGGGTGGAAGGGAACAAGATTCCCAGCAGAGATGTTCATAAAGGCTCCAAAAAGCTTGGGGCAGGCACTGAGAAAGCTGATCTGGGGGTCTTGCTGCCCTCAGAGACGCCCTGCGTGGTGTGTGTGTCTTCTCTGGGTGGTGGAACAGTTGTCTTTGCACCATAAAATAACCCATATCTGCAGAAGTTCTGCCTGCAGGACATAAAGTGGTGCCAGGAGGGTGGGCCACGCCCTCACCCTCCTCCAAAGTTAGTTTGTAGTAGCTGAAAATCACATGTTTTTTCCCCCCCAAAAAACCTCCCCAGTCCCAGGGGATGGATCCAGGAAACCAATCCAGGTGGAGCAGCTCGTGGAGGTGGCCAAGGTTTTGCAGAGCCAGTGGCTGCCCTGGCGTAAAAGGGGTTTTTGAGGTTGGTGTTGGCCACCCTGGAGCATCATCTGGTGAAGGTGTTCTCCACGGAAAGAACAGGAAAAGGGAAGGAGTGTGTTGGAGCTGTGTTCTGGAGAGCTGAATTTGAGCAAGGAGGGGCTTGGTCCTTTCTCAGGGATGAGGTGGGGAAGGATATCAATGCCCAGGGTTGTTGCCAGGAACCCAATTTCCCCTCTTCTTCCCAAGAACGGGCTGTAAAGAGCTGCCACCGAGGTAAGGGGCGTCACTGGAGATGTTCTTGGCTAAAATCCCCACAGAAAACCCCAAAAGTTGCATCCCAAACCTGCTCTGAAGGAAGTTAAAGCTGTAGAAAGATACTTGTTACAGGGATGGGAGAGGGATGAAGGATTTCGTCTCCCTGAGCTTTTTTTTGGAGTGTGTGTGTCGTTTAAATTGTTACATGTGTTTAGGTGGCACCCAAGGAGGTGTTTAATGCGTGGAGAGCACCCTGGTATAGAAAATATATATGTAAACATATAAAAGTGGCTTGTTTTGGTGTCTGAACCCCATTTCCAATCCGCCGCAGAGTGTTTTCACAGCAGTGGTTTCCAGGCTTTATCACCACAATTCCTTCCCAAATTCTGAAAATCAATTTGTCTGCACAGAAATTTCTTTATTTCTTATCCCCTTCTGCATTTGAGACATCTATAAAATCCAAATTTAGCCATAATTAGCGGCGTTTTCTGCTTTCTCAGAAAGCAGAACTGGGAGCAGGTCAGCGAGTTGCCTGTCTCAGAGAAACAGGCTGGAATCAGGTTTTGAATTTGGCACCACCAGGTCAGTGAATCCAGAGAAGCATTTTGGGAGCTTCAGGTCTGGCCAGCCCATCCTGAGTCTCACAGGAACCTTGTGCTGGTGCATCCTTGGTCAGAGCATCTCCCCTGACGTGTTTTTTTATCCACTCGGTCTTGATTGACAAGTAAAAGAACGGGGCATGTGAGTGTTAAAAAAGAAAAAAAAAAACAACAAGGTGGGGGGGAGGGGGGCTAAACTTTCTTTAAATGAACTGCCTGTTTGCTTTTTTATCTGGGATTTAAGGAGCTGAAGGGTTGGTAGCACAGATCTTTTGATAGATGGGGAGAGCGGTCCCGTAGTTGGAATATTGAAGGGAGAGACAGAGTGTGCGTGTGTGTATGTTCCTCTCCTTCTCGAGTGTAAGGAGCATTTGTCACCACAAATCATCCTTGATTGCAGAGAGCTGTGTTCATATAGGGCTCACCCACCCACCACCCTCAAAAAATTAGACATTTGTTATATGACATGAGTTGAGATTAATTAGCGAATATTAACCCATCAAGCAGCACAGAAGCACATTTTTGGAAAGCGGTGGTACTTGCAGCAACAGTGGGTTTGGATTAGTTCTGGTCGGAAAGTTTGAGGCGAAATGTGGTGGGGGGGGGGGTGCTGGAAAATGCCAGTTTATCAAAGCCCAAAGTTTTGGAGGAATTAGCAGCTTTTCCACGGAAGAATTTAAGGAGTGGCTGAGCCCCGGAGAGAGGCTGCACCTACAAGGGTGTTTCTCAACCCCAACTCTTAATACATCACTCGAGGAGCAGGATTTGGGGTCATCTCGAGGCTGCAAAAGCCACAGGGTGGGCAAGGGGGGGGGTCAGAAAGGGTCCTGGACCTGCTTCCAGCTGTGCTGTGAGCGCAGGGCGGAGACTGGGAAATGTCAGGTGGGATAAAGAGCCCTCATCGCTCAGAAAAATATTCATAAAGCAAAGAAACAGGTCTGTAGCTCCAGAAAATAAGCCCATGGAGCCATTTCCACCCTAAAATATGTGAAATCACAGAATCATGGGGTGGTTTGGGTTGAAAGGGACCTTAAAGACCATCTTCTTCCAACCCTCTGCCATGGGCAGGGACACCTTCCACTGGATCTTCCACTAGTACTCCTGACTATTTTTCCTTATTTTCCCAGAGCAGCTGTGGCTGCCCCATCCCTGGAAGTGTCCAAGGTCAGGTTGGACAGGGCTTGGAGCAACCTGGGCTGGTGGAAGGTGTCCCTGCCCATGGCAGGAGGATGGACTAGATGGCCTTGAAAGGTCCCTTCCAACCCAAACCATTCCATGATTCTATGAAAATCCTTATTTAAGAAGAGTGGTGGTTTGGGAAGGGCACAATCCCCCTCTGGGATGTCCCATCAGAAGAGGCAGCTGTCCATCAGCAGTTCCTGGCTGGCCAAGCCCAACTGGCCACCCAGTTCAAGAACCTGTTTTGACTTAGTAGGAGGAAATATCTGGTGAAGGATCACCTTGGAGAGGGTGGGAGGATGTGTGAACACCAACACCTGGAAATGCTGGTATTTCCTTGGATCGACACATTTCTGATTGTTTTGCAAGTAAAGAAAATGATCTTGGTTATTATTCTCCTCCAAAGAATCCCATATTTGTCTTGGGACAAGAGCAACTTGCAGACACTCCTGGGTAGGTTGGTGGAAGGAAAGGAAGGAAAGCTGAAGAAGCTGCCACTGGGTGTTGACCAGGGCTAATCATCCTGCTTTTCCCATCCTCAGCCAGTGCCAATATCTGCAACGTTGTCCTGATGAGGCACACGGAGCTGGAAGAAGGGATTGACGTGTTGGACAACAACGGGAACATCGTCGGGTCTTCCAGAATTGCTGCCAAACACGTACGTGCCCGGGGTGTTCCTGGTGGGCTGGGACCCCGCTGGATTTCGGGCTCCATAAATCCCACAGGTGTAGGGATCCATGGCTGGAAAACAAGATGAGCTTTGCCCATCCTTTGGAATGTTCTGGTGGACACGGGCTCGTGTCACGCTGGTGAATTTGGGGGCTGACCTTGGTGGTTTGGGGAGGGGCACAGACTGACATGGGGAAATCCTTTACTACCCTGATGCTTTCACAGGAGTCTTGTGGGAATTTGTGAGCAGTTCCTGCTGGATACAAAGCAAACTCACACCTTTTCCTAAATGAGGACGACTCTGGTTCCGAGCCGAGCAGCTTTTTAACCCTTCTCGTGTCAAAACTGCACTAAAAGTTGCCGAGCAGAGCTTTGGGAGGGCAGCCAGATGTTTTTTTACCCTCGTCCCAACACCTGGGTTGTTTTCCCTGTAACCTCCCCCCGACCATCTGCCTGGAATTTTTTCCCTTTTCATCCCTTTCCTGCCTAGTTTTGTCTCCTGAGCATCATCTGATTGTTTCCAAGTGGGCTTTAATCTGAAATGTAAAGCATGTACCCAAGCACACGCCCAGGCAGAGGAGTTAATAATATAATGCTTGGCATTTCTCTCCCTCCTTCTGTCCAAGGCTCTTAAGGCACTTCATAGACAGCAATTAATGTACAGATTTGCAGTCCTCGGCGAGAAATGGGAGCTCTCTAATATCTCTCCATATTGTTGTTTAACAGGGAGATTAAAACAATCTGTTGAAGGGCTCAGGGATACTTATTTGAGCCAGTTTTCCTCACTTATATCAACTGGCTTCGGGACCCGAGTTCCCCTCTCCATCCTGACGGTTGAGGGGAAGGCAGACAACAGGGGAAATAAATATTAAAAGGGAAGGTGCTGTAAGGGCAATGTAGGTGGGGTTTAAACTTGAAATTTGGGAGTTCTGAGAACTTCTCCTCAGGCTTCTTCCTGAACAGCTTAGTACTGGGTTTTGTCATGTGGGATTTGGCAGATCCTTTGTGGAACACCTTGCACCTCTCTGAGAGGTTGTTGTGAGTGAAGGGTCCCAAGGACCTCATGTGGATGTTCCTGTGACATGGAATCATGGAATGGTTTGGGTTGGAAGGGACCTTAAAGACCTTCAGTGCCACCCCCTGCTTTGGGCAAGGGCACCTTCCATTAGCCCAGGTTGCTCCAACCTGGCCTTGGACACTTCCAGGGATCCAGGGACAGCCACAGTTTCTCTGCCCAACCTTGTACCAGGACCTCCCCACCCTCACAGTCAGGAATTCGTTCCCAATATCCCATCTATCCCTGCCCTCTGGCACTGGGAAGCCATTCCCCCTTGTCCTGTCCCTCCATCCCTTGTCCCAAGTCCCTCTCCAGCTCTCCTGAAGCCCCTTTAGGCACTGGAAAGGGCTGGAGGGCAATTATCTGTTCCTCTGAAAGATCTTCTCTAGGTCTCAGGGTATTTTATATATATCAAGCTGCTTTGTCCCTCCCAGTGGAGGGACAACTTGTTGGGTGCTTTCCTGGGAGAGGAGAATCCCCTGTGTGTTACAATACTTCACAATAAACCACCAATGATAAAAAGCCAGGAGCAAGTCTTGGAGCAGGCAATAAGGTTCCCATTCCCCCAGCATGGAACTGAAACCAAAACTCAGTTGAGGGAGGAATTTTTGAAGCTGCTGCCCGGCCCACAGTGAGATATTGCACCTCACCACATCTCCCAGGCAGCTGTTCTGCCTGCCTTTCTCCCTCCGGGAAGCACCAACATGTTTGTGTAGGAATGTGATGGGATGTTTGAAATCAGGGAAGCTCTTGGGTGCCTGTCTTTATTCTGCTGGGTCTGTGACTGAGCGTGGAGGGCAAACGGGACGTGCACAAACAGCTGCTGGCAAAGCTGAAAGTGTGTGTTGGTGCTTTCAGTCACATGAGCAACACGAAAAAGACCAGCCAGGGCATTTCAGAGCCCAGCAGGTACATCCTGGGGTTTGTTTTAAGTGTCATGGGTCTGTTTGTTTGTTTTCCCTTCGCAGGCACTGCTGGAAACAGCCCTGACCAGAGTGGTCCTGCCCATGCCTATACTGGTTCTACCTCCAATTATCATGTCCGTACTGGAAAAGTGAGTGTTGGGGGTGAAGGGGGGGATTTGCAAGGGGAAGGGGTAAAAGATCCTCAGTTGGTGTCATTCACTGGTGTTTTGTAGAATCACAGAAGTGTTTGGGTTGGAAAAGCTCCCTCCAACCATCCCCCAGCACTGCCAAGGCCGCCCCTGACCCCTGTCCCCAAGTGCCACATCCGCAGGGATTTTAAATCCCTCCAGGGATGGGGACTCCAACACTGCCCTGGGCAGCTGTGCCAGGGCTGGACAACCCTTTCCAGGAAGAAATTTTCCCAATATCCAACCTAAACCTCCCCTGGCACAGCTTGAGGCTGTTCCCTCTCCTCCTGTCCCTTGTTTCCTGGGAGCAGAGCCCGACCCCTCCTGGCTCCCCCCTCCTGTCAGGGAGCTGTAGAGAGTGACAAGGTCTCCCTTCAAAGTCCACCAAAAACTTTTTTTTTCTTATTAAGATTTTAACATTCCATCATTTTGGACCACTGTCAAAGCTGTTAAAGTGTTACATTGACGTGATTATTTTAAATCATCTCCCTGACCCCCCCCAGGCAGTTCGAATCACCCTTTAATTTAGGGTCAGTCAGAAACCAAACTCCCTGAATTCAGTGGAAAACTGCCCATGAATTTTCAGTCCTGCACTTAGCAAACATCAGAGCTGCCACGTGGGGTCAGACTGAAGGTCTTGCCTGGTGTTCAGCCAGAGGTGGGGAATGTAGAACCCACCCTGTCCCTCAGAGGATCATCCAAACCCTCCTGGAGCTCTGGCAGCCTTGGGGCTGTGCCCACTGCCCTGGGGAGCCTGGGCAGTGCCCAACCACCCTCTGGGGGAAGAACCTTTCCCTGAGATCCAACCTGAGCCTGCCCTGGCACAGCTCCAGCTGTTCCCTGGGTCCTGTCCCTGCTCACACAGAGCAGAGATTGCCCCTCTTCTACCCCTTGGGAGAAGCTGCAGACCCCAATGAATGTCCCCTCAGCCTCCTCTTCTGCAGCTGAACAACCCAGGTGGCCTCAGCTGCTCCTCAAAGAAGAATAAATGCTTCATATATTCAGCAGAAATTTGTTTTCCATCACTGTTTAAGCCATTATCTCTCCTGGCAGATGTACCTGTGGAGCAGCAGTGCCTGGACAGGGGGAAGGACAGGGCAGGGTTATTATTTCATGCCCAGTTATCACAGAATCATGGAATGGTTTGGGTTGGAAGGGACCTTAAAGACCACCTAGTTCCAACAGGGACACCTTCCACTATCCCAGGTTGCTCAGTTATCTCACAGCAGAGGTTTTAATAGCTAAAAACCCGAATTTCCCTGTCCACTGGCCTTTCTCCCACCGTGCTTTCCAACACCTCCACATTTCCTTCATCCCAGGGATTCTGTGAGCCTGTTTGGAGCTGTCGAGTGCTTGTGGCTCCCGAGGACACCCATCAGCGGCTCGTTAGGTGTGAATGATCCGCGGGGTGGGGATCTCCTTCCCGGCCTCTGGAGGCTGATTATCCCACTGAAAGATGGGGATGCTAAAGGACTTGCTGCCTTTGTCCCAACAGCGAAACTGGAGGCTCTCCTTAAACAAATCTGTTGTTAGTGGCTCGGGTGACAGAGTAAATAACAATTAGTACGATTAGGGAGTGACCCAGACCTTTGGTGAGCTTTGTTTGTCCTCGTGGAAACAACCTCGGGCAGTTTTCTCTCCTTAGCAGAAGGGTCGGGGCTCCTTCTGCAAATTCGGAGGCTGATTTTGTAACATCTAAATTTAAAAATATAGATACGGGCTGGTACCCCCTCCAGCACCCAGAGCTTCTCACCAGTATTAATTTCTCCCATGGCCTGCGGGTGGGGAGAAACAGGGCAACAAACCCTACTTTGGGAAGTGTAAATTCAGTTTTTTCAGCTCTTTTTGCCCAAAATATGCCGTTTTCCTCTCTTTTTCAAAGGGACTGTGGTGGTTCCCTCCATCAGGGCGCAGTCTGGGCAACACTTTCTGCAAACCAGAGTTGGGAGACGTTTTCTGGAGGCACACAGGGACGAGGAGTAGATTCCAGCCCCCCCTGATTTTGTGCAAAGCATCGGATTTTCAATTCATTCTCCTCCTTGGCAAAATCTCTTTCCTGCTTCAAGACCCTTTGTCACCCACAGGGTCCCCCAGGCTGTGATCCAGCAGCAGGATCTGCTGGGAAGGTGCTCAGGAGTGACCATTCCTCCCCCTGGAGTAGGTTCCTCTGGAGTACCTTACTCAGGGCTTACTCCAAGTCGTAAGAACTGAGGTTCCCATCTAACCACCCAAAAAAGAGCCACATGAAGGACAAACTGTTTTATTGCTTCAGAGGATCTTTGCTATTCTGGTTATCGACAGACAAAACCCTTTATATGCAAAAATACTGTAGAAAACTGGTCCCTGAGTTGTTAAATCATTGTCTCCGAGAGGGAAAACTGAGGGACCATCCTGGGTCTTCCTAAGCATCCACAAGCTTAAATAAAACTAAGAGTAAAATTTCACCTGGCACAAAATAAAACCGAGAGGAAAATTTGCTTTGTGCTTGGGAGCAAAATAAAACTAATAATAACATTTTTTGTGCTTGGGGGCATCATAAATTTTTGTAATAGTACAAGAGTTTTACTAAATGCACCCGTGCTCTGGGCAAGCCTTATCAAAACTGGGTTTTATCTGTGGACACGCAGGAGGTTCTCCTCCAAAAAAAAAAAAAATCCTCATTTTAACTAATAGAAAGACTTAATTCGGGTTTGGGAGAGAATATTTTCCTTCCCAATGAAACTCGGTGGATATAAAAATATCTGGGCACTGCTTTTGCCTGCCTGAATTCTCCCCAGAGCTTCGTGCCTCCTGTTTGATTTTCCATCAAATATCTTTGGATTCCTGGAAGGCTGAGAGTGAGAAACAGCAGGGATAGGGAGTGGGGTGTGGTTTGGACACGCTGGTGGATGTGGTGGTGTCCCTGGAAGACATGGCAGCACCTTTGGGACATGGAGAACATCCCTGTCCATCCCTGAGGGATTCACAGTGCAGGTGTTGCCTCACAGATCTTTTAAGTGGTTACTGAAGGACACAGTCAAGAGGTAAAACCTCATTTTTGGGAACAAAAACGACTTGGAGCATTTGGGGAAAAGTTGAACTTTTTGAATTGAGTGGGATTTGAGTTCGACCAGGGTGTTTTCCATGGGAATGACATCCAGGCCTGCATTATCCATGTATTTATAGGAATCCTTACAGTGTCTATAAAGGAGAAAGGAGAGTGTGATGGCTCATTATTTGGAGGCTGGAGAGCTGGAATCAGAAGTCTCAATCTGGATCCTCCCAAGTCATTTGCATTTGGGATTGTGGGGAAGGATGGGAGCGATTCTCCCACCTTGCCTTGGAGCCTGGCTGGACATGGGTGACCTGGTGGGGGGAGTCCCACCCCTCCAAGAACCTTCTTTGTGCTCCCAGCAGGGGTTTTCAGATTCCTGGAAAACTCCCTCCCTCCTTTTCCCCTCGGCATTCAAAAAGTTTATTTTAAGTGGCCAGTTCCTGGTCGCCGTCTTTCCACTTGGATCCAGGTCTTTCCTCTCTCTCAGCCATCTCTCCATCTGCATGTTTTAACTCCCCCAGCTGCCTCTCTCGTCTCTTGTGCCATTTTTTTCAGCTCTCTTGGCTCCTCTCATCTCTTTGCCTGCTGTGTATTTTAACTCCCAGGGCCGCCTTCTCTGCTCTCCAAGGAATTCAATGTTACCTCCCACTGCCGAGCTCCGCAGCGCTCCATTCTTTCCCCCCATGTTTCATGCATTTCCTGCTGCTTGGACGCTCTGTGGAAAGCAGTTAACATATAGAATCAATGTTTATTTTGAGCCTGCATATGCCATGCAGGGAACACGGTGTCAGTTATTTTGTGCAGATGTATTCTCATTGAAGTTTTATAAATAATATCCCCCGTTGGCAACTTTAATGGGGAAAAGCAGCGGCTCCGCGGCGTCGGCGAGGTGGAGGCGACTCGTCTTTGGGATGACAGTGGGAATTCATTAGTGCCCCCATGTCACAGGGGTGTGGGGACACCTGCAAGAAGTCAGACTTCTCATCCCTGTTTCCCGTGAATCCTTTTGTCTGGTTGTCACTGTGAAATTTGGGAAGTGGAGCGGTTTTCTCCCGGCCGTCATCCAAGGCTTTTCCAATAGTCCCTTGTCCAGCTTCCTGCTCCTTCCAGACTTGAAGCCCATCCTGCAGCTGGTCTGTGCACAGACACTCCAGGTCTGTGGGAGTGCAGCCTCAGGTGCCCCTGTAGGCTGAGCTCTGAGGTGGGAGAGCCCAAATTTTTGGCTGGTGGAGAAACTTGGTCCGTCATCAACATCTGCTGGGGCCACTTTGAGAGATCTTTGAGTGGAGATTGAAGGATATGAGTTTTTCTTACCTACTTATCCTAAAGCCTCTTCTCTGCCTTGCAGAGACCTTCTTGGAGGGTCTGAAGAGCAGCAGAAGGTCCAAGAGCTCAGGTATGTTAGGCTGGACTAGAGGAGGCCCTGGAACTCTCTGTGCAGTGTTGGTGGAAGAGAGACAAAGCTGGAACTGCTGGCAATGGGCAGGAGCTGAGAGAGAAACAGGGAGCAGAACAGTTGTACCCACAAAAGAGGAGCATTTCTACTCTTTTCTTCATCTCCAGATCATCCTGATCTTGCGGCAGAGCTGCCAGAACATCCTCAGGCAGCAGCTGCCAGGGTTGTTTTCCTGTAAAGCTCAGAAAATTAGGATGCTCTCAGGCTGGATCAACATTCCAGAGCTGCCCTGGCTTAGCTAAGTCAGCCTAACCACAAAAAATAGATTTTCTTGGGGGACAACCAGTGCTCAGCCCACAGTTTTGTGTTGCTGGAAAGGAGTTTTCTTCAGCTTAAACCATGGTTTTCACTTCAGAAACGTGCATGAGGCAGGAGGCCCTCCTGGCCTTCATTTTCTTGACTTTTCCCTGGAGATATTCTCCTTTTGACAGCATGTACAGGATGTTTCCCAAAGGTGCTTTTCCTCCAAAGTCTCTCCGTCCAGCTAAACCCTCGCTGAAGTTTGTTGTGACTCAACAGCTGCCAGCAGTGACACCTTAAACTGCTGTGGCTGTTTCCAGAGTAAACATTGAAACTGCTCCTCTAATTATGTCAATCAAGCACAAAAATCCCCCAACCTCGCTCGCTCTGCATCTGCTGTGTCCTCTGGAGGGGGCACCAGGGCTGGAGCCAAGAGCAGGAGATGCTCTGCAGTGAGGACAGTGGTGGCCCAGCTGGATGGGACAGCAGAGCTACTGGTCACTGGGAGAGCTCAGATTCCCCCAAATGACCCAAAATCACAGGATCAGAGAATCCCAGAATGTGCTGAGCTGGAAGGGACCCACAGGGATCACCCAACCCAACCCTCAGCCCTGCACAGGCCCAGCCCCAAGAGTCCCCCCCTGTGCCCCAGAGGATCAGCCAAACCCTCCTGGAGCTCTGGCAGCCTTGGGGCTGTGCCCACTGCCCTGGGGAGCCTGGGCAGTGCCCAACCAGCCTCTGGGGGAAGAACCTTTCCCTGAGATCCAACCTGAGCCTGCCCTGGCACAGCTCCAGCTGCTCCCTGGGTCCTGTCAAAACGAGCGAGGAAAGGTCAGGAACACCCCGTGCAGAGACCTGACAGGCTCTGGGAGGGTCTCAGCAGAACTGGGGTAGTTTGAGGTGGGACAACCACCCCAAACTTTGTCGGCACATCAAAGACGGGGCGTTTTGAACCCTGGGCTCTGAGGAATCTGGGATACCTCGGGATACCCTGAGCTCCAGCCTCCAGCTCTCCCCGTACCCCGCGGCGTCCCCGGCGTCTCGCGATGTCTGCTTTAGCTTTGAACCTGTTTATACCAAACCCTCCCCAAACCCCAGAGAATCTGTCAGCTGGGAGGCTTTGGTTGACTCCTGTCATATTTAGTTTAGCATCTGACACCTCCTCCTAGACAAATACAGCTCTGGTTCACTGAACCCGATAACTCCTTTTTAGTACAGCGACTGACTTCCATATGGAATAAATTACAGTACCTCCTGAAAAACGCCAGAGGCAGCTGCCAAATTATGCAAAATTTAAACCACTAATGAACAATGTGATGAAAGTTGAATGAAGGTGTATTTACAAGATCTACAACACACTGTCTCAGCGGAGCAGATGTACTGTCTGTACAAGCATGTGAGTGTGTGTGTGTGTGTGTGTCTGTACCTACGGACACCCATGAATATTCCAGTGGGATCCGTGAGGTCTCTCTGCTTTGGGTGGATCCGTTAGCACCGAACCGGAAGATTCCCGGTGTGTTCCTGCCTTTTTAATGTCTCCTGGGTAAAAATTTGTTGTAATATCTCCCGGGTAAAATTTGTTGTAAAGGCAGATTGCAGAAAGAAGAGGCATTAGGGTGGTTCTAAGGGGGCGAAGAAATGGATCTTTAAGAAAAAAGAGAGAGGAGGAGGGAATTGTGGCAAAAATGCCGGTTCTTTGCTGTCCAGAGGTCCATGTGGAAACATGGATCACTTGTTTATGAGGGAGACAAACCATGGGTGCCAAGAATTTGGCTTCTAGTTGGGAACAATAAGATATGCATATTAAAGGAGGCTTAAAGAAGGCCGGAGAGGGACTTTGGACAAGGGCCTGGAGGGACAGGACAATAGGGAGTGGCTTCCCACTGGCAGAGGGCAGGGTTAGATGGGATACTGGGAGAGGCTCTGACCCAGGTTGTCCAGAGAAGCTGTGGCTCCCTCTGCATCCCTGGAAGTGTCCAAGGCCAGGTTGGTTGGGGCTTGGAGCAACCTGGGCTAGTGGAAGGTGTCCCTGCCCATGGCAGGGGATGGGACTGGATGGTCTTGAAGGTCCCTTCCAACCCAAACCATTCCATGATTCCACTGTTTTCCTGCAGCTTTCCAACCCAGGACCTTCTCTTGGTGCAAACTTCTCAATCCCAGGCTGTCTAATCTGAGCACCAAGGTTTAGTTCTCCAGACCCCGGCTGGTCCTGACCTGTGTGTGTGGTGACAGTCCCTAAAATCACTGTTCTCATGCCAAAACAGCTTCAATTCTTCTGCAGAATTACTGGTAGGGGAAAGAGGATATTTGCTCTTGTGGATACATCAGGCTGCTGCTTCTGCTTTTTGAGTATCTCTGGAGATGGTCAGGAGTTCAAGTTTTAATATCTCTGGAAATACTCAAAAGCCATCTGGACACAATCCTGAGTAATGTGCTCCAGGGGAATCTGCTCGAGCAGGGAGGGGGGACTAGATGACCTCCAGTGGTCCCTTCCAACCTTACCCTGGGATTCTTTAGGCTTCAGAAGATGCCAAAGTTGGGCTGTCAGGGGGATCTGAAGGTCCAGATCTCCACCTGCCTCACCCAGCCCTTTGGCAGAGCACACCAGGACAGCACTGTAAACTAAATCCCCCTTCCACAAACAGATATTAGTTTTATTTATTTTTAATCTGTGCTAATCCTCTGCAATTAAACCCTTTGGAACCATCCGGGGGGGGGTTAATGGGTGAAAAGAGGGGTTTGGATTGCAGTTGACAGCCACCAAAATGCGATATTTAACTTCATATCCTTCCCAGATCTGGGTTGGGAGCAGAGATCCCGGGGACAGGAGAAAAGTGGACCTCTTGACTAATTATGAGTCATTTGTTCTGAACCGCACAAATTTTAGAATCCAAATCCCAATTAAGACATTGCACTGCACGTGTTAATTAGCCCGCTCTCCTTTTTTACATCAAGCCATAACTCTTCTTAATTAGGAGGTTGGCCCTTGCGATTTGAACTGGCCTGAGCTGGGAGCACCCCTGGAAGTCACACCTGGGGGGCTGGACCGGGGATCGTTTTAAATTGGTTGGGTTTTCACTTGGGTGATTATGAGGTGCCCAGCAGGGCAGTAATTACAGAGGGTGCGGCTTCCAAATTAAGATGTCAGAGGTGGTGTAGGCGGCGATGTCTTGGTTCTAAACTGTGCTCCGGGGAGGCTTGAGGGATGCTGGTCCTCTGATTGTCTCAGCGAGGGCTCTCATGGATCACAACAGCTTGAGCAGGAGGATAAATCAGTTCCAGGAGCTGCCCCTCTGCATCCCAGGGATAATCACAGCTTATTGATGGCAAATCTTGAATGGTGTGTTTGTTAGAGTGGAGCAAGGTTTTCCTGCTTTCCTCACTCGGCCAAAATCCTTCTGGGCTTCTGTGAGAGAATTTTAGATTAAGATTGTGTTCTGTGCAACAAAGAGAAGCGAAATATTGGAGAACAGAAGCTTGGCTTTCACAGCACAAATTGATAGGATCAACTCCGTCTCGATGGCTTATTAGTGAGGAGCTGAGATATCGGAGGAGTTAAAGCTCTGGATCGTGTTTTCCCTCCCCGCTTCCCCCAAACCCTCTTGAGATGGGAGACAGTTTTCAGCAAGCAGCGCTAGCAAAGGGCGAGGAGTCTGAGTGTTCAGACACACAGACAACGTGGAGCAGGGTAACGGGTTCCCACACATCAGCTGCTCCCTCGGAATCCGTCAGGTGCGCGTTTGGAGCCGGCGCCGAGCGCGGAGCAGGCGGGGGCTGGGGGGGAACCTCTGATCCTGCTGCGGCTGCACGGGGAGATGGGGCTGCAAAACCCCATCAGGTGTGTGCCCTGAGGTGGGAAGGGATGCTTGGAAACCCTCTGGATGGTGCACGTTGGATTGGGAATGCTTGTTAAACCCCAGTGGTAACCACGGAGGTGTTCAGAGCTTGGCGTGATCTGGTTGTGCTTTCCTTGACCAAAGGAGAGCTCCTGTGCCCCGGTGGGAAGGGATTAACTAGGAGATCATAGGATCAGGGAATATCCTGAGTTGTTAGGGACTCTCAAGGATCAAATCCAACTCCTGGCCTTCCAGAGGACACCCCCAATAATCCCACCCTGTCCCTCAGAGCATTGTCCAAACAATCCTTGGGCTCTGGCAGCCTTGGTGCCATAACCAATCCCCTGAGGATTTCCAGTGCCCAACCACCCTCTGGGGGAAGAACCTTTTCCTGATATCCAACCTAAACCTGCTCTGACACAACTCCATGCCTTTCCTTCAGGTCCTAAATGACCCATCAGCTAATCTCCCCACTCTCTACATTCCTCATACACACTGAATACCCAAACAAAACTCACTGTCAAGTCTTCAGTTTATATTCCCATTTTTTTTCAGGTTGGTAGGAAAAAAGTCGAATGACAGGAGTCCTTTTGGTGGATAGCTCCAGAATAAACCCTCAGAAACTATGGTTTTCCCCTTAGCATTCATAAACTGCCTGAGGTCCTGTATCCTGGAATATATTTAACACACCACCTTCTCCCTGCTAAACGTTGTCCCAGTTTTGGGGTGTTAATTGCATCACAAGGGTCACTTCTCGGTCACTTTGAGAACTTGACCTTGCAGGTATCTTCAAGTGTTCGCTCTTAACAAGTCTTGAACTCATAAATATCCCCTGGGAAGAGCAAGTGTTAAAACATCCTTATCTCCCAGGCTGCAGATGTTTGATTTTTAACAAATTAAGGTATTTTGTAGAGTTTACTGCTTTATTACCCCATTAACGAAGCCGTGTGTGCCTTTTTCAGCTGGCAGGGCTGACAAAGTTCCCAATGTCTCTCAAGGACCTGGGTTTCTTCTGCTCATTCACCATCAGCTCCAGAGCCTGAATGCAGGTGACACCCGTGGGTGGCCCCCACTCCAGAGTGAGGTGGTTTGAACTGGGGGAAGAGTGTGAGGGTGAACTTGTCCATGACCTGCTAAGAGAGAGGTGCCTATCTCTGGAAGTGCTCAAGGACAGGCTGGACGGGCCTTGGAGCAACCTGGGCTAGTGGAAGGTGTCCCTGCCCATGGCAGGGGGTGGCACTGGATGGGATTCAAGGTCCTTCCAACCCAAACCATTCCATGATTCTGCGAAGGAACCAAGACCAGTGGGTCTGGGTGGACACCAGCGTCTGTTCTGATGGTGCCGTGCACTCACCTGGTCTGTGAACTGGTCTAACAGAGCCTTTCCTTTCCAGAACATCCCTGCTGAGGTCCCGTCCACGGATGATTCTCCCAGTCCAAAGCCTTGTGTGCCTCGCTGCCTTTGGCCTGGCCCTCCCCTTGGCCATCAGCCTCTTCCCGCAGATGTCCGAGGTCAGTACGTGTCTGGTCGCTGCAGGGGGGTGTCTCGGGGGGGTTTACCAACACCAGGGCTTGTTGTGCCTTCCTACAAAACAGTCTCATTCCTGTGGGAGGCTCCTCCAGTTTTTAATCGAGTCTGTTCCTGTTTTCTTCACTCAAGTGCAGCTTCACCAGGCGGGTGAAGGCCCCTCTTCCATCACAGTGGTGTTGCCTTGGGGTCAACACAGTAAAAACAAGTCTTTGTCCATGAAGCCAAGAGCCTGGACCATCCATTTGGTGTGGATGTACCTTCCCAGAGCTGCCTTTTCATCTTCTACTCTGGCTCTGGGAAGACCCAGCCCTGGGGGTGAACAGAGGAAAACCAACCAAGGAAACAGGGAATGACTAATTAAATCACTTGTACCGAGTTAGTTGAACAAATTGCTGAGGTGTGTTTGTTTCCAAGCCATTAATTTTGACCATTTGGTGTTTGGAGCTTAAAGATTGTGAATTTGTACATTGTCAGGGAGGGTCATTATTCTAAAGTGATAAAACCTCTCTCAAACAGAGCAAAGGACTTTGCTGGAGTTCTCTTTGTGTCAACTAGAACGGTTGATCAGAAATTGCTATCAGTGTCTCTGTTGCTTAATTCATAATTTTTCAGTCTGGATGGGTTTATCCACGACTTCCAGCCAGGGAATCTTGTTGTACACTTGTCTGCTGACTGAAAAACACGTTGCAAATTCTCCGTTGTCCTTCTACAGGCTGAGACAAACCTGTCCCTTCATCTTCTAAGTAACTGAATACATCTCAATCTTGGAGTCTCTTGCTAAAAGATGTGTTTTCTGAAGCTTTAATGATTCATATGGCTCTTCCTTAAACTTTTTCTAATTAGTCAACATCCTTTTTGGAGCACTTCCATAAGAACCAGACACAGTATTCCAGAAAGAAGTTGCACAAGTACCAGTTGCAGGAGCAATGTGATTTTCCTGCTTCTCCTCGGATTCATACATCCACAGTTTGTTAGTCATTTTGGCAGGAGCTCAACCTTAGCTCCCTGGCCATCAGCTTTTTGCTCTGATCCCAAGTTCTGCTCGGAGGGTTTTGGTTATGAAAGCCTGGGGAGGTTTGCCAGGTCTTGCACCTGCTCAAGGTACGTGCCTGGAGCATGTCCAGAGTTCCTGTTGGAAGGAGATTTGGGGATAGAACATCCCTTATGCTGCCTTTTCATGGAATCATGCAACCATAGAGTTTTTTAAGATTGGAAAAGACCTCTGAGATCATCAAGTCCAACCATTCCCCCAGCACTGCCAAGACCACCACTGACCCCTGTCCCCAAGTGCCACATCCACAGGGATTTTAAATCCCTCCAGGGATGGGGATCCACCCCTGCCCTGGGCAGCTGTGCCAGGGCTGGACAACCCTTTCAGTGAAGAATTCCTTCCTAATATCCAATCTGAACCCTCCCTGGTGCAATTTCCAGGGAAAGGAGTTTCACCCACCATCAGGTGGCTGTGGCTTTTCCTGGGAGGTCTCCTTTTGAGATAATCAGGGAAGCAAGACCACAGGGGGTAACACCAACCTCATTTACCCCAAAGGTGACACCATTCCCTCAAAACCACAGAATCACAGACTGGTTTGGGTTGGGAAGGGCATCAAAGACCACCCAGTTCCATGCCATGGACACCTCCCACTAGAATTTTAGCTTGATGGGCGACAGATAATTCATCATGTGTGGTGTCTGATATTACAGCAGGAAAAACTGTGTGGATTTTAAGAGCTGAATGAATTCAAGCCCACGAGGAAAATGAAGGTCTGTCTTGCTTGAGAGGATATTCAAATTGCAGGCATCAGGCACCACTGAAAGCGTTCAGCATCACTTGAAAATGACCTTCTGAGAGCAGATGAAATGTTATCTGCAGTGTAAACATGAATCAGCGCTGATTAGGAGATCAAACACAGTGACGTGCTCTCTGCCCACGCTCCATGTCAATGAAAAGAAACCATTACAGCTGGTGCTCGAGCTCATTATCTGCTGGGAGCTCAGCTCTGCTCCTTTGGAGGGAGCTCCATGTGCACAGCTGGACCTCACATCTGTCGATGCCAAGGAATTGGGTTCTCCGTAGGCAGCCTGGGCTGATCTGTGTTAGAATCGTGGGATCGTGGTTTGGTTTGGAAGGGATTTTAAAGGCCATCTCATTCCACACCCCTGCCATGGGCAGGGACACCTTCCACTAGCCCAGGTTGCTCCAACCTGGCCTTGGACACTTCCAGGGATCCAGGGGCAGCCACAGCTTCTCTGCCCAGCCTGTGCCAGGGCCTCCCCACCCTCCCAGCCAGGAATTCCTTCCCAATATCCCACCTAATCCTTCTCTCTGTCAGTTTGAAACCATTCCCCATTGTCCTGTCCCTCCATCCCTTGTCCCAAGTCCCTCTCCAACTCTCCTGGAGCCGCTTTAGGCATTGGAAGGGGCTCTAAGTTCTCCCTGAAGCCTTCTCTTCTCCAAGTGAACACCCCCAGGTCTCTCAGCTTGTCTTCCCATTATGTTTCCATGTGTTACAAATGTGTGTTTAAAGGATGTTCCTCCCATTCTCTAAAACCTCTTTAGGGGTTTCTGTGGGGATGCTCAAGTGAGCAGAGCAGGTGGAACAACCTCTCCAGATCCATTTCTTCCAGTTTGTGATGGGAAACCCAAGTCTCCTTGCAGGGAGCATTTCTCAGACCGTGTGACTTCTTGGATGCTCATCCCTGTCCATGAACTTTAACAGCTGGACTCGATCTCAGAGGTCCTTTCCAACCTCAATGATTCCAGCTTGTCAGATGAGGAATTTAGTAGCCTTGGAGTGTTTGAGCAGTGATCTCTGGGTGTCTGTGCAGGTGTCAGTACATCTGCACATGTTTGCTGTCCCCACAGCCTCGGCAGGTGAACACAACACGACCCAGACGCCGCCATTGTACCAAGCAAATTATTAACAACAAGGTGGAATAGGCCTGTTCTGTCCCAAAAACATGATCATGGTCTGAGCACCAAACTCTTCAGGAATTGCAAAGGAGCCAAATTCTGCCCTTGATCACGCATTCATTGTCCTTTTTCTCGAGTCAGGGAGCAAAACCAGAAGCTGATTTGTTATTAAGGGCTTGTTTTAGGTTGGCTGTGTTTGATCCACTCTTCTAAAGGGGCTCAGACTTACAGTTAGTTTTCAAGCAGAATTGAAACCTTTTAATAGATTTAATAACTTTGCTAGATAAATGATAAATGCAGCCACCTTATCACATCAGCTGTAGCTGCTCTGGAGTTATTCCTGTGTTCAGATGACCTCAGAGAAAGGTCTCTGCAAACAGAGACACCAATATCAGGCAAATGAAAATTCTGGAGGCGAACAACCTTCATGTGCTGGGAAGGTTAATGCATCCAGATCTTCTCCTGGGTCGATATTTAGTGTAGGCAAGACCTTGGTTTTGTGCAGATGAAATTCCACTTTGGTTTCTGCGACGGGTGCTCCAGAATTGCAGCTCGTTTCTGGACGTTGTGGGTTTGAAGATCACCTTACAAAAATAAACCCATCAAGACGTGGCTCTTCGGGAATACGCCGAGAAACGCTCCCCTCATCCCAACACAGTGTTAACTCCCGTACCTAAATGCATCAAATATGCATTGAGTAATTCGCTGCTGTTAAGTTTAGGAGAAACATGTAGTTAATGCATTTAGCCCACAACCTCCCAACTGCCTCCCATGCCCCCCGGGGAATCTCTTCTCCAACCGCCTTATCCTACAGCATCCCCACTGACAACTCCTACTCAGCTATGCACTGCCAATGGAAACAGCTGTGACAGTTCCAAACTGAAAATGGGACTTGTGCAAATGAAATTCAGTGTAGCAGCAAAAGAGAGAACCACGGGGTTGCTCCGCTGATTTTCCCACCCTTCGGTCCCCGCTCGTCCCGACCATTCATTAGGATTTGTGGCGTCCACGAGGACGTGGTTGGAACTTCCCACTGGCTGCAAACTTGCCCTGCCCCTTGTCTGGTGGGATTGTGCTAAAGGAGGATAAACCCAGGTGAGAAATGGAGCTGGAGCAAGAGCTGATGGCAGAGAAACCCTTCCAATACCTGCAGTCCTGGTGTGCTCTCTCCATGGGTGAAGTTCAGAGGGTGTTGGATGCTGGTCAGGGCAAACCAAACCACCTCCCGGAATCTGATTTGGGCCGAAAGCCTTTCCCTTAAAAATAATCTTCCTTTTGGATCTCCAGGACAAGGGGAATAAACAGCCTAAAATCCAAGGCTGAGCTATTGTTTTCCAATCTGTTTTAGCCTTCATCTTGTTGGCAGGCTGCTTTAGAAAAGCAAAAGGTTAATGAGCCAATGTGCAGTGGGATTATTGCAGTAAAGATGACAGTGAACCAGTAATTACTAATTAGATGCAGTTTAACAGGAGGAACAAGTGAAATCTCCTCTTCACCAACTGTCAATAATTAGCAGATTTGGTGAGGTTGAAATGTGTCCACAGTTAAAAGGCTGATTTTTTAATGAAATGGCACTTGACAAAAGAGCTGTATGGAGGTCACAGCCATAGCCCTCGAGACGCTTCCCCATACCATACTTAGGAGGGAAATCAGATGCAAGACAGCAGGGGGTCCCCATGAAACCACTTCTCCCTTGGGATTGCATTGCAGGAGCGGGGGGGGGGGAAGGGATTCTCTGCAGTAATTTTTGTCCAAGTTGGATGAGAAGCGAAGGGAAGGATTTGCCAGCTGCCATGGGGAAAAATGTTTGAGAAGTGAGAAGTTCTGTGGTGCTGCTTTGCTTCTGGGCCTGAGGAACAGTTTCCCGGGAGAGTCTGGTAACCCGGGAGCGCCGGCCAACGTCTACCCTCGGGATGGATGGCTGGTCTTGGAAGGAGCTCCTCGCAGGGAAGAAGCGGCACGAGGTCCTGGCAGGAGGTTGGAAGCTCGGTGGGATGTGTCTCCCAAAGACTGCAGAAGATTCAAGCTGTGCCTGGAGGGTTTGGTTTCCCACTGACACGCGGGCGACGC